CTTGTTGGGAGTTTTGTAAAGGATTGGTTGACATTTCAGTTAAGATTTGAGAATTCTAAGTAGCTAAATGTCTATGAATATCTTTAAATGTTTTTGGAATAAATAAAAGATCTCCTTGTTGTAAAGCATTGGAAGAAATGGTTTGAGTTATATCCTTGGCATTCACAAAAATTTCTCAGTTATGTAAATAGTTATTAATATCGATAGTGAAACACTTTCAACCCCATTCAAACACAAAATTAAAGCTTTCAATTAATAATTAGCTGGGAGTTTACGAGGGTACGAGGGTGTAGATAATTTGAATTCTCTTTCATTTCATTTAAATCAATTAAAAACAATAAATGAAAACATTTAAATTTCCTTTCATCAAATTTGAATAGTTTATGTTTTTTTAGGGAACTCTAACAGGAAAAAATAAAAATCTCAAAGCTCATTTTCATTTGAAAAGCGTTTGAGGAAAGTTTTTATTCATTTAACTCATAAGAACAATTTTATTTTGTGACTTCTGTGACAAAAGAATATTCAAAAAATGAAATTTTTGAAAATGGAATTGGATTTTAAAATTGAATTTTATTTCATTGAAAAGTTGTTTAAAATTTTTTGTGAGAAAAATGTGAAAAGAAGCTTTGCCGAATAATTTTAATTAATGAAATTTTTTATTCAGCTCTCAACTGTTTTGACGGAAAAAGAAATATTTCAAAGAGATTCATAATTCAATTTGCAATTTATGCCGCATTTTGGTTGATCGTTCACATGAAGAACATTTTCGTTGACTTTGCATTAAATACAACAAAACAAATTGCAGCAATTTGCACTGCTTTCTTATCGTATCAGGTGAGATTTTCTTTATTTAAGCAAACAGTTCTCAAATCTTCTATGAACTATGCCTTAAAACTGCATCATTAGGTGACGATGAAAATTTTATCACTTTGTTTGAAACTCGATTCTATAAAAACTCTGAAATCAAAAATATTGGAAGATGTCGCAGACACAACAGAAGAAGAAATGAAGATTGAAAGGAAGTATCGAAAATATGCTCGAGTTTTGATCTTTTTTACAGCAGTAATTTATTTATTTACGAGCATAATATCATTTTTGACGGCGTTGGGTTTTAAAAGCGATACGGCTATGTTTGTAAATATCCAAATTCCTTGGACTATGTATGTAAAATATGCGATAGCAATTGAAGATTGATATTTACTAACGATAAATAATTTGACAGACCGAACACTCATCCATCTCGCGAAATAAATCTCATGATGACCACTTTTTATCAAATTATAGGAGTCATCATAGTTGTTGGTAAGAATTCTCATTATTTTTTATGAATGATAAATTAAAAAAGATATTTTCTGAGGTTGTGATTCGTTCTTCAACGTGTTGACGTTCCATTGTGTTGCAAAAATGGATGTCTGCTGTTCCGAAGTATCGAAAATTAACGGAAAAACAGATAAAAAGTTCATTTCGAATTTAGTTGAAAAACATTTTCGCGTTCTTGAAATCATTAGAATTTCTGAAGAAGTTTTGAATCCAATTTGTTTTCATCAACTTGTTACAACTTTTGGAGTATTAGTTTGCACTGGATTTAACATCAAAGCAAAAGCTAACTACGTTTCTTTAGTGTTTCTAATGTCAGCGCTATTTCAATTTTATTTTTATTGTTTTCTCGGAAATTATGTGTCATCAATGGTAAGTT